AGAGCCTAATTCATTGTTTGGACTCTAGCATATTGTAAATTCCCTGCTTGTTTAGAATGAGATGACTTCTTGTATGGAGTTTACACTTTACACACTTCTTTTTGTAGTGCTTTTTCTTTTCTCTCTTTTAAAAATAATTGTTACTACATATTTGAATGGTTTAGACGGTAAAATGGTGGATGGTTCTAAGGAGGACGAAGGTCAACTTTCACGTCGGGATATGGCAACTCAAATGAGCTCCCAAGGTAGTAATCATTCGTCTTCAAGAGGAAGACTATCTTTTTCAAATTTGTCTCGCCCAATTCCTACTTCAGAGCAGCGCGCGCACGAAAATCCATCTGCAAAGGACGAAATACGTGATGTCCAAGTGGACAAAGGCACCACCACTATCACTAGGCACCCCAAGAAAAAAGGACATAAGAAGAAGGATAAGGGCTCATCGAATGTCGAGGGCTTGAATTCTTGGAATGTTGCTGAACCATCGAAAGACATATCCAAGTACGATTACATTGTATTTTTTTTTTTTTTTTNGCAGGTGTGAATTCGTAGAGATTAAAGAGAAAAACCCTTAAGGTTTGTGATTATTAGGAGAATTTGTGCAAGTTTCAAGACTTGAAATTAGCACTCGGATATGTCTTGTAAATCATTAGTTTGTGTTGTTTGTTTACTCATCAGATTGCAAAGGGAAGAAGCCAAGATAACTGCTTGGGAGAATTTGCAGAAGGCAAAAGCTGAGGCTGCCATTCGGAAACTTGAGGTTTGTATAACCAAATAAGTATTAGAAATTTTGCAAGTCTTTTTTATCATTAGGGTAAATTTTAGAGGTAGTAGCATTTGTATTTATCATTTAGGGCCCTTTAATACACTATCAAGCTGACTTTCAGTTTGCCTAATGGTGAGACATACTAATGAAAATGCCATGTACTTTAAAAGAAACAACATAAAACAACTATTTTAAACTCGTTTTTGATTCGGGTGTATCGAATGATAGTTTGAGATATTCTCTCTAAGTTGCTCTCAAAGAATGGTGTTTCTACGACATTTAATAACTATTTGCTTGTGTCAGATGAAACTAGAAAAGAAGAGGTCAGCCTCGATGGACAGAATAATGAACAAGCTTAAAGGCGCACAAGCGAAAGCCCAGGCCATGAGAGACTTGCTCTCGTACCAAGCTCCAAGGCCTTCAGGCAAAGGGTTTTGTATATATGTCAAGATTTGTTCCTCCTGTACATGCTTTCTTTGCAGCAGGCGTTGATTCCCTTCAAAATTAGAAACTCAAAAATAAAAATAAAAATGTAGGGCTCACATCTTCACATCTCGATGAAAGCCCAAGACATCAGTCATATGTGGCTCATGAAATGTCCATCAGTAGGGGCCCGGCCCATTTGTATGGAATTCAAATTTTGTAGAAATAAATGAATGGTTGTCCTCGTGAGTTGTGATATTGTGATCAAGATAGCTGGGTCTTGAGTCCAATCAAAGCAATAATCGTTAGAATCTTCAATGTAAATCTTCCGAACGTGTGAAATACTATTGGAAGCATTGAATGTAAATTTTGATTTTCTTTTAATGTGATGATTTAATACCGTTATTCTTATTTTACATAAACGTAGCCTGGAAAAATAGCTTCAGAAAATAACAGTCACAATCAAATAATAGATAAACCAGATAAAATGAAGCTGTAATTAGTTCGAATAAATTGCAGCAACCAAATTATACCACTGAATAAGTTGAAGCATCAACAGGATAGTCGTAACGAAAACATTTCGACTACAATTCTCGTATTTTTTGGGCTACAAATGTTGGCCTTCTACCAGACCAAAGCCAGTTATGAAAAACACAAGCATTTGTTTTGAGAGTGTAATGGCTGGGTAACTTTCAAAGTAAAAACACACTTAATTATTGTAAATCCAGACAGCAACTTCGGATAAGTTGTCTGCATTTGTTGTCATTAATACGGCCGATACCTGTAATCTGAACGTGATGGCCTGCCGCCACTTCCGCTCATACTGCCACCCACTCCATAACCCCACTGCCATTACATGGGAAATAAAAATGAAAAATTAATCAAAAAAAAAAAAAAAAAAACAAAAAAAAAAATGACACGTGCATGCACAAGGCAAACCACAAAATGCACATATGGAAAAGAAAAGGACGATCTTTTTCTTTTGAATGTTATGTTTTCAATTTTTGGGTAGGAAAATACCGGCAACAGTATTTCTAATGCTAATCTTAAGTTAATTCTTCACTGTAAATTAAATCGAATAAGCACATTCTAACATGTAGGGAAGAGAAAAAAGGGTCCCTCCACCACGTCCTAGGAAGAAGCATTCGAATGCATGCCACATGGATTCCAATATTAATATTTGCTGACAAAGTTCAAGTTTTCGTAAGTACAATATTTTCTGAAGTCATTGAGTAATGGTAAAGCCAAACACTGGACATATATGGGAATGCAAGGGCATTACTGAAAACCATGCCGAAGATAAAAAAAGAAAACAAAAGGAAGAGGCAGAGAAGCTAGTAAACAATTTTAAATGGAGTTTAACAATTAATACTGCAAACCAGACAAAAAAAATAATATTAATCAATTTGACTCACATCATCGAAATCAAGGCTCCCGTACATTCTGCCATAACTCCTCATATGTGCACCATACCCAAATGGTTCAAGATTATTCATCACGAAATTACCACTTGGGCCAGGTCCAGCGTGAGGCCCATGCCCTGGACCAGGCCCAGCATCATCAACTGGTGTAGCTGAATCTATAGCAACCTGCAAAATCATTGAGAGTAAGGTTGCTCATTCTACAAATCAACCCACTGTTATCAACTAAAATTCTACAAGCATTTCAACAAATTTACAGCTAAGCAGCCTCTTGAAACCCCATAGTGGCATTCTAGTATTATTTGCCAGAAGGTTGTAAAGCATCATTAGATCAGTTTTGACTACCAGCCAAACAATAGACACACTAATTATTAGAAATTGCAGCAACTCCTAAGTACAAGGCTAAAAGAACTTTGAAGTAGCCGTGCTTTTGGAATAGACACACAGTACCAATTTATCAACATCAAATCAGTAAAATGAAACTGGGTATGTTGTTGTTGTTGTAAATCAGTAAAATGAAACTGTCGAATAANACAGACATTCAAATAGTAAAACCATTTTCCATAAGTATGAATGTGTGAAAAAAGCAGACTGACTAATATAGAGCTCAAACAAGAATAAAAACATTCACAAATGCCTCTAGGCATCCAAGAATTTGTATCGTCAGCAGTGGTCCTAAATCTATGCAGTTATCATTCCTGGAAAACACACACACATATGCAACAGGTCATGGTTCGGTAGAGTCAAACCTGGTGCCCACAAATTTCATGAGACCTTCGGGCAACACGATCTGCAACACCATCCTCAGCAAACGTCACAAAACCAAACCCGCGATGACCAGTCCTCTTCGGGTCCTACAAAATAGCATGACAATGCATTAAAAAGAACTATTACATTCTTGAGCTTAGTTAAATCACACCTAATTTTTACCTTTGGGATATAAACATCTAAAATACGTCCAAATCTTGCGAAATAGTGGCGAAGATCTTCCGTAGTAGCCTCCTGGGGGAGCCTACCGACAAAGATCTTTTTTCCCATCCCACGAGGTGTTTGTCCTGTAGGATTGTATGAAGACTTTTGAGATCGAGTTTTCTGATATTTGGAAGGGGGAATATGCTTATGGCGGGAAACTTACTTCCGTACATGGGACTAGGATGATCGTACAAGGTTGGAGCACCAAGGGCAGCATATCTAGTAGCCGCATCAATATAAGCATTGTAAGCACCATATCCACCCCCACCCACACCATGGGCCACTCGACTAACTGGCCTGTAATCTTTGTAATCTTCCTCCTACATTTGTATAGTCAAACACAAAGAGGTGAATCATGTGCAAGTAGTAAAAATATAGAACACTGTTATACGCAAAATTATAATAACAAGAAATTAGATTAATTAACTAAAGTAGAAAAGAAAAGAGAAAGATATCCCATCCGTATCCGTTGCATACAGAAATGCATGTGTTTCGTGTGTGTTATTGTAAATAATGGGATAGCATGCATCCAAACCAGTAAGGCATATAATATACTTGTTACATGAAGTCCTTTTAAGCCTGGTGTGGGCTGCCTGATCTTTTGCATGCAAGAAGCTGTACTAATTTTTCCCTGCATACGTTTAGGTCATTTCCCCCTAAATTTGCCTATAGTATATGATGGTGAAGATGCTAGCAAAAATAATTATAGGAAGAGGACTGTGCTGGAAATTTATGAAGAAATGCGGACACGAGAAAATTTAATAATCAAAACACAAAACACACAAACACACACATATATATGTTGCTGAAAGCTACCTTAGGAGTTGCTCTGTCCACAACCACAGTTGAACCTCCCAGTTCATGGGTATCTGCCATAAGATCATCTACTGCCTCTGTGAAAAGACCAGATGTGGAGATAAAATTGTTTATATTGTGTGTAAGAAATAGCATTGTTGCACGTATAATGAAACTCGTGCAAAACCCGTAACACGGCAATGCACAATGTTCCAGCCGATTCCCCAAGTAGTGCCAACACTAGCAGCAAAGAAACTTACCAGCATGAGCAAACGTTATAAATCCAATTCCACGATGGCCTTTGGTGGATGGATCCTAATAAAATAAAGTAAAACACATCATTCAATATAATACAAAACTATCGGGTTTCAGGGAGGATAGGAGACAAGTAGAACCTTAGGCATGTATAAATCTGTTATGTCACCATAATTCTCAAAATGACTGCATGAGAAAATACAGGATGCTGTCAGACTTCTACTCCAATAAAAATAATCAACTGTCTGCATATTTAAGCTTTGACCATAAGTTCACATGACAAGCTTCACAAAAAGCTACCTCCTGAAAGCAGATTCAGTTACGGATGGTGGAATTCTTGCAACAAAAATCCTGGTTACCTTCTTCGATGATGTTCTCATCTCCTCCTGTAAAAATTGAAGCTGCACAGTCTAGTCAAGCGGTCACCTAAACAATTACCAAAAAGTAGAAAACTCTACGATAAATAAAACCTAAAAAAAGATCCCTCAAAAGAATGAAAATAACAATGTAAATCAAAAGGAATTAAAAATCTGAAAGAACAATCCAAAAAAGTGAAACTAAATTTCGGATCCATCTGACGGGAATCGTCATTCTGACAAAAGTATTTTCCAAAATTAAAAAGATAATCTAAATGGAAAAGAATGATATTACTCATGGAGGTTCCTAGAACTTTCAACATACTATCAATCAGCAGAAACAAGTTAGTACAACAAGGAGTGGGGAAAATTGGAAGGAAATAACTAGCAAACATATGTAAAGTATATGACACAATTAAATATTGAAGAATGTAACCCTTGGAGTGGCTATCTTGACTTCCAGCATTCTATTTCCAAGCATATGCTCACTTGCTAGGGCACCCTGTGACATGCACAAACAGATTAGAAAATACTGAATCATGCAGAAACCCAGCTCTACAACATAAGAATTTCAATTTAACATCCAAGTTGACAATTAGAGCTCAAAACAACAAAAAGTAATACAAGAATTGAACAAATGTCTGTCCAAATTGTTTTCACCTTTGCATCTTCAGCTGCTGCAAATGTAACATATCCAAAACCGCGAGAACGACCAGTGGAGCGATCCTGAGATAGCCACATAGAACAAAATAATCAACATATAATGAAGACCATACATCCCCACCCTACTTATACTTTCCATTTTCCCTTTTTTCTTTTCCAGGGCTCTTTTTTATTTTGGTTTTGAGTGGGAAGTGACATTTTAGTCTAGATCATCAAGAACATCGAAAATGCGCCACTAATCAGTGAAAATAGAACTAAGAAAAATAGACGCTAAGCCAATTATATATTTTAGTTACAAGATCCAAAGAGTATCTCTAACACAGAAAATAGATTAATAGAGAGAGAGAGAGAGAGAGAGAGAGAGAGAATGATGTAGGGAGAACCTTCATCACAATACAGTCCTCTAATTCCCCAAATTTGCTCATGTATTCTCTCAATCCTTCAGTCTCCACATCCCATGGGATTCCCAAAACCTAAAGTCACACATTTGCAAGCACATTATCATCTACAAACATCATAAACTCATCAAGACAGCATTTTTCAACTACTCAGAAAACAGCATTTTGCTTACCACAAGCTTGCGGTCAGCCATTACGAAAGAAGTTCTTGCTGTTACGACCTCGTGAATTTGTGCAGAACCCTCCTCTTCCTCTCCTCTCTCCCACTCTCTCTCTCCCCCTCTCTTTACCTCTCTCTAACCCTCTAACCAACTCTCAATCGCTCAAGAACTCTTCCTGCACACAACAACAATACGGACGCCTCTTTCTCACAACGCACAGATACCATCAACGTCATCATAAACCAAATCAAACTCACCATATTTTTCAGAATTCTTTCTCAATCAAAAAGAACAATAGAAAAAAAAAAACCATTCAAGGAAGAAGGTATAAATAATTGCAGAATTGCTTCGGGCACTCGCTGACCTTTTGAATCGATTGGGGATTCAAAACCCTAAATCCCTCCGCTCGGCTCGCGCACTCCACTCTCTCTCGTCGCTCGCTCAGCCCTCTCTCCTCCGGCCACTTAATAGCTATCGTGTTACTCTCCGGCGAGCTTATCCACCTACGACCTTAATTTCTGGATCTGCCATAAATGTCGATTCATTTGTAGTTGGTTGGACGTGCGACTTTTACTGAAGAGCTCGCACTGTGTAATACGACTTTACAATTATATTATGGAAATATCTTAAAAGTACAAGTAAAATAAAATTATACGTGTTGTTTTTATAAAAAATAGTTATATTAAAAAAGAAAAAGATGAGATGCATTTTTACGTCATCTAGCGAATTGACAATTACATTTGGGCTAATATACATGTGATTAGAGGTAATATATCAAGTTTTATACTACCGTGCAAATGTATGGATGTATTAAGAATTAAAGTAAAAGATTGTACATGTTTAACTTTCAATATTATCAATTTAAAACTCTAGTTTCTATAACTCTAGGACTCGAACGATGAGTCAACAATTTCAAGTTTAAAAGATAAATATATTGATTTGATTCTAAGAAATTTTAAATTATTAATATGAAACTCTAATAATTATTATAATCATCAAATATTATTAATACATGCCATTCAAATGAAAATGTGGATGATGGAATATTGAACCCTTGAAGTTTTACAAATGTTTAAGTTGGGTTTATTCGCACTCCTTGAAATTTGGCCTATATAACCATCATGTATGTTCAGTAAATGTCTCGCAAGTTAAAAGCATTTACATAATTGTACAGAACTGCATTTGCCTTCTCTACTTTCTCCTGTAATTTGGGTTCACAATATGAATATTGTCTTCATGTATGGAAGTTGATCTACACTTCATCAGAGGGAAAGTTCAAAGTAAACTCATGTTTGTTCTTCATGTACCGGCTATTGATCAATCAATTGATATATTAACCAAGCCTCTTACTGGCCAATTCTTCATTCAGATGCACAACAAGCTTAGGAGCATCTTCTAGAACGCTCACACTAACAGACGCTAATGGACCGAACTGAACATTAGCAGATCGTTGGCCGAGACGAGTCCGACACTTGCTAGAGCCACTGACTAACCAAATTCTGAGCTACTTAAATTCAATTTTGAGTTATTAAAGCTCATATTTTTCCACATATATAAAATAAAATTAAGTTTTCATTTACCATAAAATAGATTTGAGATTTTTTCTAAATATATTTTTTTTTTTTTTTAGANTAGATCTTTCATTATAAATAAATGGAACCGCACTGTGTGGCTTCAAGCAAGTGAAGGCATGTACACACCATCAATAAACCGCCAGTCGACTAGTCGAGTAGCATTGATGTAATCCTGTGGTCCATGAGCAGGTAAACCAGAGAACATCAACCCAACCAAACGAAACATTACCAACAGCAAACCTTCCTTGTACTCTTCTCCAAACATTCTAGGCAGAAGAAAGCTCCTCACCAGCTCCCAAAATGGATCCACTGTCCTTCTAACAATTTCAACAATGCTGAAATAATTCGGCTCTTCTTTAACAACCTGCACCACATCACACCTAATTCATTACATTTATATATAATAATCATAACCACCTTCTATTATCTGTTATATATATTTTACTCACCTTTGCTTCATAAACACTATCAATGTATAGGCACTTCCCGAAATGCCTAAAAGCCGAAACCGAGTTGTCGTAAGGCAATCTCGGAACAATATCATGATTATACACGACTCTATAATACCCAACTCCGTAAAAATCAAACTTCTCTTCCATAAATCTCCCGAATTTTTCATCCCCAACTTTCGGCTGCCCGAAAGTGTAGACCCTTTTTAACCTCTCCAAAACCGCGGTCTCGTTTTTCACTGCAAGAACTGCGGAGAATAAAACGGCGAGGGCCCCACCTAGGCTGTGGCCAGTCAAGACAAGTGTCGCGTTCTGATTGGCTTCGAAATGGGATTTTAGCTCTTGTAATAATGTGATGTAAACGTTTAGGTTTGGGCCAGTGTTTTTGTCTTCGGGCCAAGGCCCGTTTGGTTTGAGGCCGAGGGCTTTGATGAAGCCCGCGTGAACGCTGCCTTTGTTGTCGGGGAAAGGGTGGCGCGATATGTCGAGGTCGGTTATCCAGTCGGCGGCGCTGAATATTTCCGTGCCTCGAAAGGCGACGAAAATCGTGTTCGGGTTTGTGGTTTTATCGAGGAAAACGAAAGCCTGTGTTGTGTGCGCCTTGTAAGTCTCTGTGAGTTGAAGAAAAAAATGGTTGTTTTATTGTCTAATGAATATATGATGGGGAAAAGAAGGGTTGTAATTTGTAAAAATATTATGAATGCCATTTTCATCATGTCTTATTACCATCCCAAAAGTTGTAGGCTCCCAGCAATTCCATCTGCAGAAAAAATTGGGCTGATTTAATGTAAAATTTTGTCAAATTTATTTTTCCAGAACAGGATTTTTAACTAGAAAAAATAAAAAAGAAAAATAATAAAAAGCAACCTAAGAGCATTCATTACAATAAAATAGCACAACACTATATACACCTTCCAGTGATCCTCAACGGTAGCTCGGATGAATTTGTTGTTCTCGTAGGCTAATTTTGATGCCATAGCACACAGGGCCGCGTAGTATTTATTACTACCTGGTTTTATATTCTTGTCCAAATCTACCCTGTTGTCTAGATGTCCAACAGTTGATAAAAAGCTGGATGATTCTTTACTAGGCAGCACCACATTCCCTGTAACACATAAAAAGAGAGAACAGTACAAACTGCAGAAATTCTATGGCGCCCATATGGGCACCATATGGTGCCATAATCTCACAATCCAACGCCTAATATCCATTCTATCAATTCCACAATGAATATTAGGCGTTAGATCGTGAAGATTATGGTACCATATGGTGCCCATATGGGCGCCATAGAATTTCTGGTACAAACCAGAAATTTATATATCAGGAAACACATTTTCTTTGTCAATAAAATAAACACTACTTATAAAAAGAAACAAATGTGTTTCTGCAAAGAATTTAACAAAATCATGCATATTCCACCAGTTCAAGAAAAGAATCTTAAGCATACCTCTCAATAAGTTCTTCATGAACAAACCAAAGTTGCTCTTATTTCCTAGAATGTTAAGGCACATTTCAAATCTTGAACCGAACAACGACAAGGGCTTTGCATTGTAACGAAGAACCTTGGAGACCAACTTGTAATATTGAAGCATCTTGTTAGGGTTCGTGGTTTGTGTAAATAGATCAAAACAAAAAATTGTTGCTCGACTATTTTTCATAATTATTGACTACACTCGACTATATATATACATGTATGGAAAAGGAGAATTTTCATTTGCTTTTTTACCCGAACAAGAAAGAGAGCACAACTGTAATGAGATTGGAATATTGTGTAAAACATGGAAAAACAAAAGGGTATTCATGAAATGAAATTCACAAACCGTGCAAAACATGCATTGCCTAGTCCTCTAACTTGGACATTCTTATACTTTAATTTATTGTTCTCTCTTTTGTTTAAAAAGAAAATAGACAGCATCTTGTACATGGGATCTCCAGCTAGGTTTTCTAGACAATGAGTCTCATAAAAGATACAAACAAGCAATAAGCACATTGGGCTCATCTTCATTCATACTTTCTTAATTATTTTCTAATTTTGCGTAATTTTGATTAATGAGAGCTAAAACACATCAACAATTTATTTTAAGGATGAGATTAGACATACAAAGAAGCTTTACAACACTTTACTTTCTTTTTTTCGCTTTCCTTGCAAGCCATAAGGGATTCCAGGCCTCAACTATAGAAAACATTTCGTATGCCTGAAAATCCCACCTGAAGAACAAACAAAAACTCACATAACATACACTAATCAGTTCCGTGCAAAAAACATTAGTTCGTCTTCAAGATTTTCCGATTTTCCTGCCCAATTGCGGAAAGAAATACATCCGGCTTGCCCAATCTAGTCGAGTTCACATAATCTTGCGGGCAATGAGCCGGAATTCCTGCAACTAGAAGACCAACAAACCTTAAAATCCGAAGCAAACCCCCTTCCCGATAATCTTTTCCTCTCGTGTACCCAATTACAAAGCTCCTCATTAGCTCCCAGCAAGCATTTACGATTTTCGGTAAAAGCCATATAAGAGAAAAGTAGTTCTTGTTAGGCTCCTCACCTAAAACCTGCAAAGTTATTAATTAATTACAGAGTTATTTATGTTCTTCCCCAAAATCTACAATCTTTCAAATTAATTTTTCGCACTTTACTTACTTTTCCCTCATAGAAGCTGTTATAGTAAATGCAGGTCCCGAAATGCTTGAACATGAGGGTTGCATCATCGTACGGAAGCCTCGGCACAACATCGTACGAATAAACAAATCGATAATAAGCGATGCTATGTTTTTCCATCAAACTCTCCATATACTGTTTGAACTTCTCGTCCCCAACCCTCGGCTGACCGAACGTGTATACGGCTTCCAGCCTGTCCAGCAGCGACGACTCGCCGTGCAAGCCCAGCACAGCCGGAAAAAGAACCGCCAGGGCGCCGCCGAGGCTGTGGCCGGTGAGGATAAATTTGGAATTTGGGTTTTGTTCGAGTTTTTCACGGAGGAGCTTGCGGATGGCGTAGTATGCGGTGGGGGGCTTGTGGGGGTCCTGTTCGCGGGGCCAGCCCTGGCTCTTCTGGAGGCCGAGGGATTTGAGGAAGCCGCCGTGGATTTTGCCGGCGGTGGGGAGGTCGTACCAGGAGATGTCGGCGTCTGTGGACCACGCGTCGGAGTCGAAGGGTTCGGTTCCGCGGAAGGAGACAATGACGACGTCGTTTTTGTCCTGGAGGGCGAATGCCTGTGTCGTGGCTTTCTCCTGGTAATCTGTAGTGTCGACAAATAAATAACTAAATAAGGAAATTTATCAAATGTTGTTCTTTTTTTTTTTTAACTTTTTCTTTTCCAACAGAATAAATCAATATATTAAACTCAAGCCAAACAAATCCTATGTAAAATTGTAAAATATGTACGTAAATTAAATCATATCACAATTTTGCCCAATAAACTTTGTGATTGTATAAAATGTTCAATAACTATCAATTCACAAGTGTTTCGGTAAAGTAAAAGTATTTGTACGGGAGCACTTCTAAAAAAATTCATTTCTTAAATGAACTTATTCAAAAGTTCTATTTTTTATTTCTATTTCTATAGAATGAACTTTTTGAATAATCAACTTATCTATAAAACCATTTTTAATTGAACACTAAACATTAATTTAATATTTATCTAAATGGACCTTTGCATTGAAAAGTCCATTTAAAAAGGGTTAATGAATATTTTGTCGAATTACATGAGTTGGTGAAATTTTTTACCATGCATGTCAATTTATAAGGGTTAATGAATATTTTTGTCATTTTTTTTTTGTTATTAATTAGCAGGTAGTTTTTTGCTTTATTTTCTTTCATACATTTGCTTGATTTTTATTAGTTAATGAGTATTTTCTAAAATCTAAAAAATTATTGGATAAATCTGTAGTATTCATAAATTATTGTACGTATTTTATAATATTATTTTTTTCTTTTCATTGTATAGGAAATAAGATCCTCACCATTCCAGAAATCGAAGGATCCCAAGTATTCCATCTGCGTAGAAAAATTAAACCACAAAAAAAAAATAAAAAATAAAAAAAAATGTGGGGTTCAGTTTAGTATAATTCAATGCCTGTAATTTGCAAATCAATTTAACTTCAAAAAAAAAAAAAAGGGTTCAAATCACATTACCTCCCATTGATCGTTGACTGTAGACTGAATGTATCGGTGGTTCTCGTAAGAGGCCTTGGCAGCCATTACAGAAAGCGCTGCATAGTATCTGCAGTCCACGTGGCTTATGGTGGGGTCCAGCTCTCGTCTTTTATCAATGCAGCCAATGAACGACAAGAAATTCGCCGATGTTCTGTCCGGATACACCACCTTCCCTGCATGCACACCAGTAATTAATCCCATAAGCTAATTAATTAATTCAATTTTGATTCAATCTTAATACTATTGATGAGTATTTTGTGTTTAGTGTGTGTGTGAATCTGATTCTAATTAATTTAGGCTTGCACGACTGTATTCGCTAAGCAGTCATATTTTTTCGGTTGTTATGCATACTTCAAAAAATATTGTACTCTAATTAATGTGATTTTATCATATATATGCAATTTTTATTAAGAAAAAATATAACAGGTTGTTTCGTGCAAAAAAATTGTGAATGGATAAACACTTTAGATTATGCTTGGATACAAATTAATTCTAATTTTGTCCGAAAAAATCCGAATTTGCACTGTTAAGCTAATCCGACAATGCTTTAGATTAATTTTAATTTAGAAAGAGTTTATTATCAGGCGGAGTCCAATTGAAGTTTTCATTGATTAATCAGGCCTGATTTTGTGGAGTAGGGCAGTTGGATCTTGGGATTTAGCCTTCCAGATAAATGTAATAATTAAGCTGATTTAATTAGTGCAAGCTAAGCATGGTTTTTATTTAACTAATTGGAGCCGATATACTCATGACATGTAAAGCAGAAAAAGGACGGATCAATAATTCTTAGGAAGAAAGCAAATCAAGTCCAGCCTGTTTTGATTGGACACCATTAATTTGTACTTAAATATATTATATTTCATAGATTAATAAATTCACATATAATTAAAATCCCTATCAAATACATACCGACCAGAAAACCATGGAGCATCAAATGAACTTTGAGATTCTTTTTAATTATATTCATTTATAAAATTGATTCCTAATTAACACTGAAATATAGGTGTTCGAGTTTTTGTAACTCCACTGCATTTTTCACTCTATCACCCGCCTGTGTACAGTTATAATGCACATGTTTAACTTGTAACAAAATTTTCCAAGATAACTTCCATTCATTAGGTCTCCATAGGATTTGAAAATAAATAAATAGATTTGTCAAAAAATACAGACAAAAAAAGAGAAAAAGAACTTATTTTCTATGAGATCGAAAGTTGAAAGTAATAAAATGTTATTGGATAATAAATTATAGTTAAAAGTACATGAGTGAACTAACAATATTTTATGTTGGCAAAACATATATATGTTAATAATTTATATATTTAATTGGGATATTGTAAAGAAAAAAAAAATGAGATGGAGTGGATAATTTTTTCCATTCATAAGTTTTAATAAGAAAATTGTTGAATAACCAAATAAAAATAAAAAAAATGTCTTATATGCAATAAATATTCCACTTAATTAAATAGTCTTTTTATGTAACGTGGTAATTAATTAATCAGGTCATGTGCAACTTGCATTATGAGTAAGGTCCTCTTTCATAACTTGGGTCTTGGAGGACTTAGAATCTTTGGTCCTTAGCCACCATTTTATTTTATTTTATTTTTTCTCGCAACACTACCTTTCAAAAGATTATTAAATCAATTTGTCCGATTTGGACTAAAATTACATAGAATTGTCAATGGCTGATCACCTAGCTCACACACACACACACACAAAAAATAAAATAAAATAAATAAATAAATAAAATAATACCTTTAAGATAATTCGCCGCAAGCCCGAAAAAACCACCATTCCCCGACAGCAAATTCAGCCAATGCTCGATCCCTGAACCGAACCCGGCTAGGGGATTTTGGACCATTTTCAGCATTTTCTGCACGAAGACCGAGACGAAAATAATCCATCTACGCCCGAACGACGGCTCGTGGGCCCCATCAGGACAGTCCACAAATTTCCTTTTCTCGAGGTTGCTAGAAAATAAAACCTTGGCAAGCTCCAGAAAACCGGCCTCGTCCGGGTTCAGAAGCATGTAGTCGCTTGAGAAACACTTGTTGCAAGTCGAGCCCATTTTTTTCTTTTTTTTTTTTTTTATTTATTTATGNATTTAGGAGAGAAAGAATATTGGTTGTAGAAGATATTGATGATGATAAGTTATTGGAATTGAGTATGTGTCTATATATATAAGGAGAGATGTAATGATAAAGAGTTAATTATTTATTTAGGAATAAAGAAAGATTTTTGTTTTTTCAAAAAAGCGTGTTTTTAATTTGCATGCATAGTATGGTAGTAAAAGAACTGGAGTTTACTGTTTGTTCATTGAAAACGTTTTTTTTTGTTTGAAAAACTATTTGGTTTGAATCGTTTATATTTGTGTGTAGGTACAGTAAGGTACCTGAGTCCTTGTGAGAGATGCAACTTCCTGGTGCTTACAGGCTACAGTGATAGGTTAATTTAATTTTCGTACTTGGATTTTGATTTATTTAATTTTCTATATAAAATAAATAAAATTCCTAAATAAGACTGGTCCCATGCATTATTCATGCAATTATTTTATTCACTGGAACTTTGATTAGTTTTTACTTTTTACCCTTCCTTGCTTATCTGTTCAGCATACTTGTTCCAATTTTTAAGGCAATAGAAAAAAGATATAAAATAATGATGCTTTAGTAAATACATAGGTAATTTGTAAAATATGTAACGTTTATGAGCTGGCAAAATAGAGTAGCATTTTAAATTACCAATATTTTGTTAATTATTCAATTAATTAGTGGACACTTTCTGTATTTTTAAGCACATTGTGTTCAATTTTTCATTAGTTATTAATATAGGATTTTTTTTTTTTTAACCGCTAAGCTCCTGCCCTACTAGTATTCGACTCTGTGCATTTGCACAAATGTAAATAAAATTAAATATTATAAGTTACATTTATGTATATAATATAAAAATTATAAGTTATATAATTGTATTATATTTCAAATATATAGTATTATAAGTTATATTTATGTATATAATATTAAAATTATAAATTATATAATAATATTATATTTTAAAATTTGATCATTGGTTAAAATAAATAGTACACACGATTTGATTGTATACAAATCACTATATTAATTGCATAAAATGTAACAAATATGTACTTTTTATAATTTTGAGTGATCATGACCAATTAATTAGCTGAAAAATATTACATTTATTATAACAATTGCTTATGTGATTTTAAGAAATTTTACTATATATGACATAATTAAAAAAAATAATTTATTAATAAACAACCGCTTCATCATATAAAAAATATTGATTTTAGTGTAAAATATAATTTTATGTAACTTTCATTTTATATTTAGTATAAAATATAATTACTAATTTTAATATTAACTATTATATATTCAATAAAAAATATAATTATTAATCAATTAAAACAAAATATAATGATTTTTGTCTAAAATTAACCCAAAAAAATATAATGAAATATTTTCTTATTAATGAGATTGGGTGTATTAATGCCACATAAATAAAATTTATTAAGTTCTATTTATTAGGTTTTATTAATGATTTGCCACATAGGTAAAATTTATTAGGTTTTATTTATTAGGTAAAATTTATTGCTTAGCTAGCAATTATATATATATAGATTCTAAAATTAGTGGGCATACATATATTGTTCTTGATGGATCTAATGGGTGGCAAAAATAAATGCAAAAGGATATCTGAAAAATCTACAATTACTATACGGAAATTTGGAGCTGGGCAGATCACAAGGTCCCAAGTATTTATCTTTGATGCCTTCTTGATTATTATAAGACAAGCTCTTGAGATGTTTCTCAATAATGAATGGTCCTACCTCTATCAAGTCTTTTTTGTACTTTACTCATCATATATAATAACTAAAGTTCAAATTCCGAAATGATTTTTCAATTAATTTATTTGAGTGGTTTGGTCCCTTTTTTATATTTTATTACATCACATTAAACGCGTTGTAATTAAATTGTAATTAAACATCATGATGAAAGGTTCACGATACTTCTATCCATTATAGAGTAGGGCCACAACTGAAAGCGTTATTCTCATTAGCCATTAGGCGCTAACTGTTTAATGATTTTACTTTCTTCAAGAGGTCGTCTCATGGTTTCTAAGAGTTTCGTCTAACCGACCACTAAAGTTGTTACAAGTGAAGTCGAAAGATTCAAACCTGGCAACTAAGTGGAGGAAAGAAAACAAGTTTAATTAAGGTATGAACAACTTTTGTCTTAAAGATAATTAAGTCCAAATAAATCAATTGTAATCTGCATGTTTGTTTAATTAACTAGCTTTTATTATAATTAAATCGGCCCCATTTAACATGGAATATAAGAGCATCTCCATCTCAAAATTAATATATATGTGTTTTAATTGTCGAGACATAAGTCTTTTCAAAAAAAAATTCATTAATTATTATAATCTTGGTATATTATTAATAAGTGATTCTCCACTTAACAAATAACTACTATGGTCTAAGCCATTCTTGTGCGATAATATAATAGCAGCAATAATTTATTGTCATGTTTTTGTTGTCTCAAATATAATAAAACCTCTCTGATTTCTCACGAGAGGGTCAATTTCTAATCTAATTTCTTACGAGAGGGGTCAAAAGGCTCTATTATTGTATTAGGAACCAAATATTTGTACAACTTAATATTGTTCTCACCATTATTTTATTACTTACTAAATAAACAAACTTGTCTGGGTCCAGGATTTTTTAAGATGATAAGCTCAATTGATGATAGATCTATATAATTATGTACATCTTATAAGTAGGGTTCTCACCCATTATTACTTTACTGAAAAAACAAATGCATCTGGGACCATGAATTATGTAAGATGATAAGCTCAACTGATAAATTAACGTTTTTCTGACAGCAAAGGTGGATTATTTTGACTATTTGTTCTATAGAAAGTATCATTCATCAGTACAGCTTGTTCTTATGGATTATCATTGATGAATAAAATAGGATAATACATGAAAAATATGGCATAACTTATAGATGCATGTTGGTACGTAATAAGCTTTGGCAACAATTATACTACTTTATTGCAACAATTATAATAGTCTTTTATCAAATTTGTATACTTAGCAACAATTATATTACTTTACTAAAATAATATTTATACTTTTTAAGCACGACTTTTGTTTATGTTATATTCATATTCAAAAATAATTTTACCGTCCACTTATTTTGCATGTTTGTCAATTTCATCATCTATCTCTGCCTGTCAAAAAACCCATCAATCAATTGATCAAACATCGATCAAAGCTGTTTAGTACACTTTCCTTAAAAGGGAACGTGATTACGATACGATTATCTTCCAACTATGACGATTATGATATGTTTGGCCTCACATACCCAAGAGACAAATCTATTAATTGTGTGCAGCTCCATGTGTAAGCATGACTTAATTACTTCAGTAATATGAGTGGAACACTGATTTTTTCCACTATGAATGTGTGTTATTCACTGTTGCATTTCTCATCGCCAAAAGCAAAAAGAGTAACATTTGTTAGAACTAAAGAATCAATACCTAGTCAATCCTCAAAGTACCCAAATAACATGGTCGTTAATTTGATCTAGCAAATGATCCTGAGTGGATCATCTCTAGAAAACAATCTAAAAANAAAAAAAAAAAAAAAAAAAATCAAAATCTTAGTCAATCCTCAAAGTACCCAAATTACATGGTCGTGAATTTGATGATCGACTCATCTTGTCGTCATCCTTTAATCGTATTCTCCTTTGTTCGTGCATGATGTCTATTGGCTGGTCGAATGCAGTGGGGATCAGATACGTGATGGGCAAGCAGTGTAAAGCTCGGGTGATCTGCACATACGGGCCAAAACAAGAAAAGCATATCAAGCCCAAAAGAATTTAACTACATCACAAAATGAAAATTCAACTTGATTAGAGTATTGTCCGCACTCACATGTCCAAGTATTTTGGGGACGAGGGGCTATAGACACCCCTGCAAAAATGACTTAATACTCAGTAACATCTAGACGAGTGAATAGATTGACCTTGAAACAAAAAACGATTAATTAATGAGTTTGAGATGTTTTTTAGTCTAATAAAATAACAAAATGAAGTTCAAGTAATTTACCAGCTTGGACTGTAACTTGGACTTGATGGAGAATACGATGGGGATGTAGGTGAATAAGAAGGGGATGCTGGGCTGCAAAAAGGCACAGATTACACAAAAAAAAATCACAATGTATGTTGCATTCTCTGAAAAGAGAAGGCTCTCTTCTTTTTAATTAACAAAAAAGCAACTCAAACAAAGCATTTTATGAAAATCAAGCAACAATATCATGAAAATAAAGCAACAAAATGTTTAGGTATTCATAGAACGTATTGTTTTTGCCCCCTTTAATTATTCAAACATTCTTATAGACCTTTAATTATTCAAACATTCTTATAGACCTTGAAACAAAAACGATTAATTAATGAGTTTGAGATTTTTTTTAGTCTATTAAAATAACAAAATGAAGTTCAAGTAATTTACCTGCTTGGACTGTAATTGGACTTGATGGAGAATGCGATGGGGATGTAGGTGAATAAGAAGGTGATGTCGGGCTGCATAAAGGCACAGATCACATACACAAAAAAATCACAATGTATATACTGCATACTCTGGAAAGAAAAGGATCTATTCTTTTTAATAAACAAAAAAGCAACTTAATCAAAGCATTTCATGAAAATAAAGCAACAATATCATGAAAATAAAGCAACAAAATTTTTAGGTATTCATAGAACTTATTGTTTTTGCCTCCTTTAAATTATTCAAACATTCTTATAGACCTTTACCCAAGCATGAGCCAGAGATTATAGCACATTGGAGTCACAAAAAGATATGTCAAACAATACCTGTAACCTGGAGAGGAGGGGTTGTATGAACTGAAAGGCGTATCAATGTTGGGGCTTGTCGGTGAATATTCAAGAGAAGGGCTGTATTTTGCAGAGGGATCATAACTTGGAGTTGTCGGACTATAGTGCGGTGACGTAGGACTGTAAGGAGAGATAGTCGGGCTGTAAGGACCCGTATTGGTAGGTGTGTATGGG